GCTCCACCAGTCAGCTCATGCTCCGATGAATCGCTGCCCGTGTCGGGTGTTGTCGCGAAACTTGTTTCACTGGAGAATTTCCGTAGCTGACGGTCGATCAACGATTTGATACGAGGTAATCGAGCCGGTTGTTGCGACGTTGAACATGGAAATGCAGTTGGATGGATGATACGATTATCGCCACTAGCCATATTGGCGGCACCAAAGCCGATGTCACCCTCTGCAGTCATCGGTGAGTAGTGTGACGATGGTGGTGGTGGTGGCATTTGTTCAGCAGTGAAACACGCACTAGGCATCGAGCGTAAATCTGCAGCATTCAAAGGGCGATTCATCGACTGAAGCACACCGGAACCGACGGCTGCTGCGGTCGGCACATTGTAAGTGTGATGATTAGACGTGGATATGGTGGTGAGCGGAGGCATACTCGATTCACGATAGAATCCGCTGGATGCTTGCAATGGATAATCGGAACACGTAGGATTCGAGATGGACGTGGGTAATGCGGGATGACTGGAACGATTCGCTAGATACGAATGCCGTCTTGATAACTTTCCACTAGAGGACGGCGAAATGCGAAACGATGCCGTATGAAGCGGGTGTTGGCGTTGTTGTTGTTCGTATGGATTGTAGGCATGACCCGACTCAATTGTTGACAACGAACGATCACTTGAGAACTTCACATTGGTTCCATTCAAGTCATCGTTCAATGCAGCTGCTTGTCCATGCTTGCATCTCTCAAATCCATGATCATGTTCATGATCTTGATTATTCTGAGCATGACGATTGTGTTTTTGTACGTAATTGTCCCTCGGTGATGGTATACTCTTTCGTACAGATCCCAGGAATGGAAATGAATCATCTATCGTAGTGCTGCCACTTGAGAGCTGCAAAATCGGTTGACTTAAGCCTCNAGTCCTTAAAATCGGTCGAATAGGCTTCGATGGTAAAACTTTCGTGGCCACCGTAGCGTTGCTATCGTGATTCGTTGAAATCGGCTTCTGAGGCTGATTCTGGGCAGTGTCCACCACCACTTCTGCGGTTTCAGAGTTATCGCCGCCGCGTTCAGACGACGATCCATTCTTGAAGTCGTGATCATCTTCGTTTACCTGTGTCGAATTCAACAGGTCAGTGCTGCTGCTGCTGCTTTCAGGCACAGACGCCTTCACGGAGTTGGTGGCTTTTGTGTGCAGTTGAGGCGAGTCGGGATTGAATGAGTTGAACGCGTAATTCTCATCGGAAAAATCCGTAATTGGTGCGTTCCGCAACGGAATACTCTCATCACTGAACAGATCCTCATCACTGCCGGCGTTGAAACAGTTCGATGAGCTCATAACAAGCATTCAGAAGGCACACAACAAGATCGCATAAGATTTGGCAGAAGAAAATCTGACTCAACGAAAGATTTCAAATCCGCTTACAGCACTCACAGAACACTTAGAATATAAGCAGAAGATAGATTCCGATGGAAGTGCAACTTCACAATTGAGTGTGATTCCAATTGAATGATGACCGTTCTGAGTGACGACGTTTCGTTGTACAGTAGCGATTTCAATACGGCCGGATAGAGTCGGCCTCAAGTGCGATTGCTGTTCAGAGAGCCAATCAACTGTAGCGATAATACAGAATAATGTTCAGTCATTCAATGGAATATTGCACGTGAACGGAAGCGAAGCATTCGTCTACTTTGGCGTTTCTCAGTAACCAAGTATCATCTTTTCTCGATTCGCAATTCGATCTGTTAATAAGTTGAGTTAAATTAAGACGGAAATTACCGCGAGTGCAAAACACTAAAACAAACAGCAATTACATGAGGAAGCGGTCACAATAATCTAATTAAATGCTAAATTAAATGATGATCAACGACGAAAATAGCAACCCATAATGCCTATTTAAAGATAACATCGCTAGCGCAATAAAGACAATGGGGAAACTATTGAATGAGGAGTATCGGTTGCAATGCACTATATTTTCTAGAATTCCTTACGAAATAACAGTGCATTCTAGTATTAATGAGAATATGATGAGTGATACCACAGTGAAGAAAATTACTTCGAGCGTTTATGAGTTACTGGAATTGAATATCAAAATGTTGGCGCACTAAGAAGATGGTTATTAAGTGACTCCGATTGAGGTTTGATCTCAGACGGTGATCCAACTGAGAAATCTCTTGCAAACTACGTCTATCGCTGACAAACCAACAAAACAACAATCCACATTTAACGTTACCGATTCAAGCTGAAGCTCATTGTCAGTGTGCTTTGATCGAATGAAATTTACATTCATGCGGCTGCTGTTTTATCCATCACACAAACTCAATGATTTATCTTACCGCAGTTTCAGTTTCTTGCGTTAGACCAATGATTTGATAATATTTATGTGGAGGTGAATATGAAACTGACGAAATGCTGTCATTATTTTTAAGCGTGATTAATCGTTTCTTTTCCATCGGAATCACTCAATTGAACAACACGATTCATCCACCATCTAATTTGAGAGCTTACAACAAACAATATCAAGCATTGCTTGGCTCAGTTTTTATTCAGTGAGACTCGTGAATCTTATCGCAAACAATAAATGTACCGTAAATGGTTATGATATACCGCTAACAGTTACTGTTAGCGTTAGTTACTGTTAGCGAAGCAAAAAGTTTGTGTGGTTTTGAATGATGATCTACTCTGACTAAAAGGGATGGTGCAGATTGCGAAGTGGAATATAGCATTCAGCTGCAATGATCAACGTTCATATTGGTAACCGATAACCACTAAACTTCATAACCTTACAAACTGAGATTCAGTGATTGCCAGTCAACTGATGAACAGTCCTAACGAGTGACATTTGTCCTTCAAAATGAACGTACACCAGTGGATTCTACATTTCATATATATTGTTACCTGAACTTTACAGTGGCAAACTGGAGGTTGGTATCGACAGCGATGCTTCCGAAGTAAGGCAAATGAATAGTAGGTCATTAAAGAATCATCAAGCTACTAGTGAACGTTTGGAACCAAATACAAATTATTCAATGGCATCATTAAATGAAGTTTGCTGAGCATTAACCAGCGGAATTTTTGAAGTATTTTACAAAGTTCATGTGAAACACTCAAAATCAACAGCTGTTCAGTGTCGTTTACGATTTTCATTAGTCTTTTCGTTTCATGTAAACAAATTGAAGGAATTTTTTGATAGAATTTATTGCCCACTTTTTTGCTCCGTTTTGCGTTTTTTCCCTCATAAATCTTCGTTAAAATAACGACTACTTCCTTCGTTATTATCCAATTTGTGCATCGAATCATTTTAAATGACAATTTAGTGCGATGAATAACTTGAAAAACAACAATTAAACAGTCGGCAATCTATTCGGTTTCGTTTCAGTCTCAAAGAAGATTGATCATTAGCAACGAATGGAATTTCAAAAACAAACTCGCAATAAGATCAACGGAATATAGTCGCAGCTGAATACGATAAGTTGCCTACGAATAGCGATGGTGATTGAAGACGCAACTCGTGAAACAACCAAAAAAATGCTCCCAATCAAAAGCCTCGTGTCATGTTATGAAACTGGATTCTACTTGAAAAGAGTGTGCTGCATCAGTGCGTCTAATTCTGCAATACGCCTCCATTCCGGACTACGCAGTCCTTTTCCGGACCACGCAGTCATAGATCCCGTAGTTTTGAGCTGGTGATTTCCCGGGATGTATGGAAATATTCAATAGATTCTTTTATTCAGTAAAACTCAAGAAATCAAACTTTCATCGAATTCAGTACCAATGAACTCATAAATTTAGTGCACTGACATGAGTGCACAATATACTCATGACAGTGGGCTTAATTTATGAATTCATTAAATTAAAAGGATCGATAAATGATTCGTAAACTTGAGTTACAAATTCGATGAGAACGACAAAAATTCCATGTATGCCTCAAACGTTATTTTGTTTGCAAGCTGATATCACCACAATTATTGCCGTGAATATTTCAGTTACTGCAAGACCTACGTATAATGAGAGATATGAACTGACTCATAAGTGAGCAAGTATGAGGCCATATGACTGAAGGCAACAAATTCCATTGCAAAACTACTTGAGCCGACCTCCAAATGAAAACGCAAATAACGTCTGAGTTCATAGAAAACTCGAGATCTGAGCGAACTTTCCCAAGTTCTCTAAATTCAGCCATAAGCATATGATCATTTGCTGGATTTGAACCGAACGTGTGAGGGAGGAGGACATTACAATCAAAATGATTAGAAGACAATGCTCTTACAACAAGGAATTTCTTCATTTGCCGATCGCATCGGAACAGGTGAGAAAGCAGTTGCCGAAATCGGATGAACAGCAGCAGTGATGCAGCAATAAACACATAGTAGTAAAATGCAGTCTCATTTGATCATTTTCAAACGATTGTCATCAATTAGTGGGAGGATAAGAGAAATAATGTTTTGGTGTTGCGAATCTTTATTATGCACAATATAAACATAGGAATTACTACGGATATGTTGGATGTGTTGAAGGAACATAAAAACATTTATTGTTTTTGTTTGTGTAAAGACTGCTGTCGTGCAATGCAAGCAGCCAGCTAATTACGAATTAGGCTGAATATAACACACCAGAGCAATCGATGTGAATCGAAATTGCTTTGTTTTCGTCAAGTTACTCAACTCTAAGTGTTCCATTGTGAAATCAAAGAATATTCCAAACCTTTGCCGACTCCTGCTATGCAAAAAATGACGATGGCTCACGCGGAATAGAACGGGACTTAAAATACAGGAAAACAGTGGCTAGTTAGAAATTGAGCTGGTGGACGAAAAGAATTCAGAGGAAGTTAGGACGGCGAGCAGTTAGTGGTTTAAATTCTGTCAGAAGTTCAGAATCAAGAAAACCTAGAATCAGGACAGAGTGATCACTGTTATGGCCTGCGTTTTTGCTTTCAGTTGATCGTTTGGGGCGATATAGTGGAATTGCTAACCTAAACAAATCATGAAGTTTCCACTAGAATGACAACTGCTTCATTTTGCATTGATCATGGATTCCATTTCATTGATCTTTGAAATCAAAATCGAACCTTTCAAAGCGATCAGACCGAAGGAGCAAACAAACTTGAAGCCCTCCTACTCTCAAGTCCTCCTTCACCAAACAAGTGATGATAAATCTTACAATTAGAGTCGTGCAATTTTGCTCATCATCTGCGAAAACAAATCGAATTTCTCAAAAAATGAGTGCATCTGAAGGAGATGAAATTTCCAATTGCAAATTTTGCTCACATCAGACGTTTAGAATAAAATCAACGTTTTAAAGATGCCTCCATGGAAGAAGTATCAATGAAATTGTTCAAGAGTCCTATGGTGCTTCATTATTGTTTTGATGGATCATATTTGAGCGAATACATGCTGCGATATTAGCGTATTCTTCGATAGCATTGAGCATAAAAGTGACATCGAATGATGAATGAGCAAAAAATAGATTGAACCCTCGCAGGAATTTAATCGAAAACCAACAACTGCCGCTGCATTCATTACCCAGAAATTCATTTTCCACATCATCATCATGATAGAAAACAAAAAATTCTCATCGATCACATGCAAGCCGAACGAACGGAATTAACACAGTCAGCTGAGCTTGACAATTTCCTTACTCGACTCGAATTCGACAGCTCATTCCATATAATACTAATAAGTAAACGATCTAGCTCACATCAGATGCAACGAATATCATCATCATCTTGTCATATCCCAACAGAAGACTTCTCAAATCCAGGCGAACTAGTCGATGTATTCAAATAAAACAGCAGCAGCTTCACTTCAAGTGTATAGGATTGAAAATTCGTAATCGTAAGGAAATGGCTCAATATAATCATGAATAATCATTGATAACAACTTTCGTTGAAACCAATACAGTGGGGGAGTTAACGTAATAGAGTAATTTAACAAGAAGGCATTTGAGATAAATCACTCTTTGATAGAAGCGATAATGGAATTTTGAAGATCGAATGAGTGATCACTCGACGAAAAGGTATTGTTTTCGAGCGGACACTAGTCAACATCACGGACAATAACGCATCAATTACTGCTAATATTCATCAGCTGATCATTGGTATTACGATGATACGGATGTATGTGTTTGTGTTCCGTTGGTTTCATGATAAACCATTAATCAAATTCATTTCATTCCGTGAGAGAGGCTAACCAAATTCCTGAAGGTGTAACATAAGTTGTAGTTTTACTGTAATACTATGCTAGTAGCGTTCACCAAACAACAAAACATAGCATTGTGTTATCAAATAATAACACATTGTATCTGANTGTTTTCAGTTAAGCAAGAGGAATGAAGAGGTTAAGAGACGA